CATTTTAAGGTATAATTATTGCTTTTTTTAAAAGTATCTCTATTGATAATGACTTTATATTTATTATATAGTATTTAATAAATATAAATATAAAAAAATAGGGTTAATTTTAAAATAAATAACTATTTTATTGAGGTGATATTCGATTAAAAATATTTTATATTTTTTAACAGAAGAATATATCTATTACTTATTTCTGTTTAATTTTTTTCATTTGTATTATTTGTACTTTCTGACGTTAGAATCTTAATTACTCTATTTTTAGCTCCGAGCTTTCACTTCCCAGTCCATTGGTTCTGCTTTTTTCCCATTCAAATCAGTTGAAATTCTCCTTTATTTTAAAATATTATTGTTTTAAAGTTTTCTTTTTTATAAATAATCATTTTATGTTTAATAAAATATTATTTAATTTCTTTACTATTTCAACTTTGTTCACAAAAAAATGAATGACAATATTGTCATAAAATGATGAATTAATAATAATTAGATCGCGATAAAATTTTATAAAATAAAATTGTATATATTAATTTAAATAGTTGTAAATATATTGAATTATAAATTAATTATTATATTTAAAATTTAAATATTTTATTTATAATTAAGATTTTTAATTTTATAATTATTTGAATTGATATTTAAACTTGATTTGTGTAACATCCCAATTTAAATTTTAATAATTAATTTGGGTTAATAAAAAAAATAATATTTAGAGGTAAGAAAATTAGTAAGAGATGATTATTAAATCTAACTTAGGATATAATTCTAAAAAAAATTAATTAAATAAAAAATTAATAAAAAATATTATTAAATTATTATTATAATAAAAAAAAAAGAAAAGGTTTGCAAAAAAAAAGAAGGAAGGAAGAAAACGTGCCGCCGCCTCAATAGTAACAATAGTAAAATAAAATAATAAAAAAAGAAAAGAAGAAGAAGAGAGAGAGAGAGAAAAGAATAAAAAAAATGTGTGGGACCCACTGAATTTTTATAAAAACTCACATGTTCCTTCGTTTCTTCATTCATTTTTCGTGCGCGCTGAGGCAGAGAGAACGCGAGTCGCCGGTGCGAAATATCTAAATTTTTAAGGTAAGAGTTTTTAATAGGATATTTAGGATGTGATTTTAAGCTTTTTAAGACTAAGTAAGTGTTCTAAAATTTTTTCTTAGTCATCCTTCTTCTTTGGTTTCTGATTTTATAGTGGTAGAAAATTTAAGATCTGGAAGAGGGATGAATTTATGTTGAATAAATATGGTTTTTGAGGTTGTTAGTAGTATAATAATATTCTAGAGTATAAATTTATTGGTGATCTTTGAATGTGGCTTATGGATCAAATTCTAGACTAGATCTGAAAATATATGTTGATTTATTGAGGTTTAGATGATTATTTGGGATGAGAAATGAATTATTATGGTTATAGGATTATGATTCTAAGATAGAGACTTAATTTTTAATTTTTGAGTATTTTAGGTACGAATTTATAAAATAAAAAGAAAATTTTGATAATAGAAATTAATTTAGAAGTTGATTTTTAGATTATTAATGTTTATTGATAATTAAAGAGGAGTTAAAAAATTTACTTAATAGTATTAACTATAGATTTGTATTAAGATTGAGATTAGAAATTATGTTATATTTTTAATTCTATTATTAGAATTATTTTATTAGTTTCAAAAATTGAAACTAATATTTATAAATAATATGTTATTTGTAGATTGTATTACTAGTGAAGATTGTGGTGAGAGAGAAATTTTAAGGAATAATTTATTGAAAAAGCCACAAGGTAACCATGCTTTTAATTTGTGATTAGTGTTACTTCATGTTAATTGGGTGATTATTGAGAAAATTATGAATTTTGTAATATTGTATAATTGTGCAATATTATTATGAATTTGTTTAATTATTATGGGAGGTGTTGGGAGACTTGCTATTATTGTTGTATTTATGTGCCACGTGGTACGCCCCTATTGGAGCTCAATAGGTGGCTTGTAAGGGCTCGGGCTAATCTACCTTTGGCCGGATAATTTAACATCGAGTGAGGGCTACGGCTCGAGGTTAATGGAGGGATATAAGGATAGTTGTTTGTGTTTATTATAATATTTCTTATATTTATTGAAATTATATTATTTTTTAATTCTCACTTAGTAATCACACACTTAACTGTTTGTATACACTATCATAAATTGGCTTTGGTTACTGGGACTTTTGAGTCTCATTATGTGGTTAACAATTTTCAGGAGAAGAGCCACGAGTAACACGTGGAGGAGTCCCAGAGGCTTAGTGGTATAGATCCACTATCTCTTTTGGGTATTTAATTTATGATTTATAATGTGTTATATTGCCAATAATAGGGCTTTTTGTTTATTGTCAATTATATGAATATATAAATGTAATCATGCCTTTCAAACTATTTCTATTTTTAGTACAATTTGGATGACTGTAATTTTAATATTTGGTTTACTTTGGATTGGTTAAAATGGCATGATTATAAGGCCAAATAACTGGCTTGTGTTGAAAATTTATTAAATTGCTTATTTTACTTGTTGGGAGTATAAGGATGGACAAATGTGATTTAGTTTACTTGTTGGGAGTATAAGGATGGACAAATGTGATTTAGCCTAATGGCATGTGGGAGGTAAAAATTTATCTGAAATGTTAATTATAAAATATTTTATATTGAAATTATTGATATAAAAATGTGTTGGGTGGCTGTAACCCAACTATGGTTGAGTTAAATTATTAAAAAAAAAATTTGGTGTGTTACAATTTGTCAAAAAAATTTGTGTAAAATTTAATTGTCATTAATTTCTTTTTTTAAGACTTAACTGTCATTTTTTTAAAAAAAAAATTTATCTGTGAAAATCATGATAAATTAGTTCTAAAAGGAGCTTTTTAATATGCATATACAATACAACAACAATAATTTCAAGTTTGAATGTTTCAGCACACCTTATTTTAATGGAAGAACCGCGCCATTCAAAGGAACATAATTCTTTTTTAAGGTTAATAGATTCTAATATTTCTCTACATGTCTGAATGCCTCAAGTTTAATTATTTTTCTCGTTAAAATGACTCCATTACTTTTAATGAGTGAAAAGAAATTAAATGAAATTTGACATGGACTTGTATAAATAAGTAGATTTTTGTTATAAATAATTCAACTTTTCTTGTTGTTTGCAAACCTTTTTATTATTAGAGTTTTTTTTATTTAATTTGTAAATTTTTTCTTCTTCAAGTACAAATATAAATTCACACAGCTCTTATGAATAACTAGACTTCTTGTTATAAGTAAGTAAACTTTTCTTGTTATTTTATAAATTTTTTATTATTAATTTTTCTCTAGTAACTCGTAAATTTTTTCAAGTGCAAGTGCAATCTCACATGAACTTTTTTGAATAAACAAATTTTTTTATAAGTAACTGAACTTTTTTATTTTCAGACCTTCGATTGTTAATTTCCTTTAGTTAACATGCGGTATGGATATTTTACCCATCAAAAGTATTTCGGTCTTTTCACCTTTTAAAATAATTATACTCGAGGCCTTTGAATCTCTAAAGAATACTCTTAGACATGCATAGAGACTTGGTTCTGTTTTCTGCTTTTAAATTCTTAAAATGATTTTATAAAATAGTTTTTCAGGACAAATTTTGAAAACAAAAATAAAAAAATTGTTTGAATCATTATTTTGAGAAAAAACATTTTGAATTTCACCCTCAAAAATAATTATACTTGAGGACTTTGAATCTATAGAAAAATATATCATAATCCATTAGACATGCAGAGAGACTTGGTTTTGCTTTCTGTTTTTATATTCTTAAAATAATTTTATAAAATAGTTTTTCTGGACAAATTTTGTAACAAAAAATAAAATTGTTTGAATCATTATTTTGAAAAAACATTTTAAATTGATGAAAGAAAGGGTAAAAGATAATCTATTTTATAAACATAATTGTCATTGATCCTTTTCTGTTTTCTCTGTTTTTTTTTTTTGAATAACAAGGAAACTATCATTCAACAAATTGGGGGCATACAAAAACTATGGAAACAAGCAACAAAAGAAAACAAATAAAGCAAGCAAACCACCCAAGAAAAGACTAACTAAAAGGGTAGGGCATCAAAGAAACAAACGTTAAGATTAGAACTATGAGCTAGCTTAGTCAGGTAGTCAGCCATCCTATTGTCCTCCCTAAACACAAAATTAAGATTAACATATCAGAAAACAGAGCAAGAAAACTAAAGCAGCAATCAAACTAAAGCAGCAAGAAAATGGAGCAAGAAAACGGCTGCACGTACTAACGCGCAATGGCTTTCATGCTAGAGCGCTAATTCTGTTGCTTCTTGCGCGTACTAACGCGCAACGGCTTTTGCGCTAGGGTGCTCATCCGTTGCTTCTTCGTGACTAATGCTTTAAACTAAGTAGGGGCTTTCGTACTAGGGCGCTCATCCGTTGCTTACCTTCTTGTTATGAAAATAAGGGCACCCCTCAACTCAATTCCTTAACAAGAATTGCCGAGGTGTTAACTCACGGAATCTACTTCACTCGTGCCCAATACCCATTGGGCACTTCACTCAGGGTTTTCCCCTATGGGGCGGGAAAACCCGAAGGGGAAACCCTGAGTGAAGTGCCCAATGGGTATTGGCCATGAGTGAAGTAGATTCCGTGAGTTAACACCCCGGCAATTCCTATTAAGGAATTGAGTAGAGGGGTGCCCTTATTTTCATAATAGGAAGGTAAGCAAGGCCTAATATGTTTAACAAAAATTTAATTGCATAAATAACATCATAGAAAGGGTAATACCCATGGTTGTCTTTTGTGATTAGTGAAATAGCATTCACACAATCACAAAAGACCTCCACAGTTTTGAATCCTTTTTGCCAATACAACTCAAGCCCACGATGAATAATGTGAATTTCAACAGTGGCAACTGGGAGGTATCGCAGCTTACAATTGAAACCATATACCCAGTTACCATTTGCATATCTCAAAACATTTCCACAAGCACTCCTGCCATTCTTAAGGATTGGGTCATCGATTTCAAGTATGATAGCAACATCATTCAAAGGATTTTAGAGCACAACATTTCTATCTCTAGGAAGTAAGTCAAAATTACTAGACAATTTAACGTCGGCAACAACATTGAATAAAAAGAAGTATGGATCCTCCTAAATCACATCGGTACAACCTTGAAAGAGAACCCTGCATCTATCCAAATATTCCAACAAATGTAAGCAAATAAAGTGTTCTAGGGCACAATCATAGTAGATGAGTTACCCACACGAGCTTTCATATTCTAGGATAACCAGTCCCTCTTATCTAAAGAAAAAAATATATCCAACATATCTTGGTGCACATACTCATTCCACCAATGCTTGGTAGGAGTACAGTCACAAAAAAGGTGGATAGTGTCTTCCAAAGCCATACATCTAAAGGGGTAAGGTATATCTTCTATTAAACCTCTCCACAAACGTTGTGTGATTGTATGAACTCTATCATGCTCCATCAACTAGAATATAGTTTTGATCTTCTCTGTGATCTTTTGTCTCCATATTGCTCACCAAACTAGTTCTCTGTTATCTTCCATTCCTGCAAAAAGAGAAAAGTATCATGATTTCATAGAATAATTACCTTATGTAGAATAAAGTCATATGTATTTGTCCTCTCCTCTCACCTCATAAGGGGTTTTCATGCTTACAATGAGGTTCACAATATGGTTAAGAAGCAAGGGTCTCATTTTGTACACATCCCAAGTTCCCGAAGAAAGGACATGATCCCTTACACTTTCATTAATATCTATGAACTCTTTGCCATGTTCCACTAAGTCAATAAGAGGAGTTTTGGTGGGAAGCCAACGATCAAACCAGAAAGAATGTGACTCCCAGAAGCAATAAACTTTCCTAAACTATGTTGAAAGGAGTTCCAAACCTTGAGAATGCTTTTCCAAGTTATAAATGCTCCACTTCTTCTTTTGATATCAAGTGTGACACCAACTCCACATTTGTATTTAGATTTGAGAACTTGAACCCATAAAGTCTTAAGGTTGGTAACCAAAGCCCAACAAAGTTTTCAAATGAAAGATTTACTTTGGTATGTCAAGTTTTTAATACCCAACCCGCCACAATTCCTATATTTCTACAAGGTCTGCCACGAAAGGAGATAATCTTCTTCTTGTCTTCATTTTCTCCCTGTAAAAAATCACGGCTTATGCTTTCAAGCTCATTAAGAGTGCTTGTTGGAAGGAGAATGGTTTGCATAAAAGATGAGGGAAGGGTGAAGATAATAGATTTGACCAAAATTAACCAACCAGCCAAGGTGAGATACCTACCTTTCCAACTCAACAACCTTCTTCTTACATTTGACAAGATCAGTACATAGATTCTATAAGTCACCCTCTTATGAATTAGAGGAATACCCAAATATTTTCTCAAGTCTCCAGTTAACCCAACACCAAGAACATCATTGAGCTCTTGGGTTCTATTAAAATGAACATTAGCGGATACACAGAGCTTAGTTTTTTCCTTATTCAGCTTTTGACAAGAAACACTATAGAATCGAGTCATACATCTCTCAATCACTTCCATCAAGTTATAGAAAGCTATTTCAAAGAGAACCAAGTTATTGGCAAAGAATAAATGTGAAAGTTTGGGACCATCCTTTACTAATTGAATGGGTTTCCACTCTCCTCTAATTATCTCATCCTCAATAATATGACTTAACTTCTCCATCCACAGCATAAAGATGTAGGGGGAGACAGGGTCTTCCTCAAGTGGGTGTAAACTTTGAAGTGGGCTCCTCATTGCAAAGTACATTTGCAGTAGGCGTACAAATACAAGCCATGATGACCTTACACAAGTTATCATCAAAACCTGCCTCTTCTAACACCTAATGATGTTTTGATTTTTTTAGTTTTTCAAAATAACTTCTAACTTTTTTGTTTTCGAAACAGATAATAAAAACACACATTTTTAAATAAATTTTTTTTTTCTTATTTTTCAAAACGAAAAATTATTCGAAAAACATGTAAGCAACATGCTTCATGTTATTCCCGTGACCTTGCATGTTATTCTCCTCATTTTTTTTTCCACTGGCAACGACGGAGCTAATTGCGATGTAATTGTGTACAGATGATAATTGCTTTGAAAAGAAGTTGCACTATTGGAATTCCTCCCACCCTTGTTGTTCCCATCCACCTAACTTCCCACCTCTCGCTTCCTTTATTTGCTCCCACATCCCATCTTTTCCTCTCCCACTCACCTCCCCTTCATTTCTTTATTTCTCTCCCTTTTTTCCCTTTTCAATTAGAGAAGTATGCACTAATGGCATGAGATTATAAACAAATTGACCTTTGGCTCCTTGTTTTTTCTTTCTGCTAATCAACCAATCCACTTGCCTCTGCTTCTCAAACCATCCTATTAATTTTTTTAGGGTTAAATATCATTTTTACCCACGATTATTGGTTTAGGAACATCTCATGTATCTTAAACTTTTATACGGTGTAGTTCTTCATTCAATATTTGAACTTGATGTATTGAGCACTAGCCAATTGCCATTTAAAAAATTAACATTGATCATCACGTGACTTAAAAATTACAAAAAAAAGATATAAAATTATATAAAAAGACCGTTAAAATTACATATAAGTATCCTGTAAAAAAATTAATATCAATTAAGTCTCTTAAATTATATATAAATAACATTATAAAATTTTTATTTATTACTCATGTAAAAAGTTAGAGTATGATTTTCACCAACAATTAATCTAAGAATATAACTGATATTAATTTTTTTATAAAGTATTTATTTGTATTTTTATAGTTATTTTTTAAGTTTTTTTTATAATTTTTTAATTAACTAATAGTTAAATTTAATTTTTTTAAAAGTAAGTTACTTAATGAATTATTTTTAAATATTAAAAAAAATTATATTATACGGGAATTTAGGATATCAAAATTTTTAAAATGGATAGTTGAAGAATAGAAATATTTTAATTTTTTTTTTAAAAAAAATTATAGCACAAGCCAATCATTACGTTAATATCTCTCTGCTACTGTATATTTCATTATTTTCAATGCCTGAATTGAACCTGGGAAGCTGTCCATAACCTCATGAGTCATGCATGACCTGTCCATTTCATGCCTACTCAAAGAAAAATTAAATATCTTGTGCATGATTTTGTTGACAGCCTTATTGTCTGGTCATCTTTCAATCACAACTTTCATGTGATTGATGCCCAGTTTACGGTTCTCGTTCTAAATCATCAATCCAGGAGCTCAAATATCTTTCAACATATCATTGTTGCCGGCAATTTTCCAGTGGCAAAATCAATCGATCTCTTTACTGCCTTAGTCGCTTCTAACTAGTTAATTCCTCAAGATCATCCATCATCGTCAAGGGCTACAATATTGTATGCGTTGAGATTGCTAGTGGAAGCATCCCTAAGCCAGGATTTGCGAATCTTTATACTTTTAATCGCTACTTGCTGGGCCTGCCGTAGCCTAACCACGGAGTGTGAAAGAAGCTGCCCACTGCTTGATGAGGCTCCCAAAGAAAACGACGGATGAGATAACGTAAAGAATTACCAAATTTCATATGGAGAAAGGAAACAGAGTTGGAAATAAAGATGAGGTCTAATAAAAGCTGAATTTAAAACTTTATTTAAATAAAAGTTTGGATTTAAAAAATTGAGATTGTTTTTTTAAAAAATCAAGCTTTAGGACTTGGGTTTGATAGGCCTTGAAAAAAATACTTGGCCCAAGTGACCTTTCAAGCTCTGTTCGCTAACAGATCGATATCAGTTTAAGTATTGTGTTGTTAAAATGATTGATGTTGGTTCTTTTATCATTTATTTTAATACGATATTGACATATTTTTTTATTAATTTCTTAAACATGCTTATTTTGTAAAGTGTATTTATTAATTTTGATTAATGCCATACTCTATGATACATAAATTTTTGTATTTATTGAATTTGATAAAGTTGATTTGATTAAATATTTCTATCTTCATTTTAAAGCTTGATCATGATTTTATATATGAATTTATATTTATTTATGTATTTTATTTATTTTTTTAAAACTTTTTTAAAAAATAAACTGGCCTATGGACCATGGAGTGTGAAAAGAAGCTCCAAAAGAAATGATGGATGAGATTACAAGAAGAACCAAACGTCAATATTTTGATAATAGGACGGATGATATGAATAAGAAAAATCCACAGATCATGATTTTCATGATTTAAGAAGTTATTAAAACAGTAATATAATAATTAAATAAAAAATAATTTTTATATGCACATACATTCATATATATATATATATATATATACATTAAAAATAAGTTTAGAGTTGTTTGATCATAATATATTTTACTCCTCCTATTTCAGATTATAAGATATTTTTAGACAAAATCTTATATACTAATAAAAATATTTTTATATACTTAACAACCTTATCTTTTAAAACAAAAATATAAACTTTTAAAGATATCAATCATTTAATATATTGAAAAGAGAAGGAATATAAATTTATTATAGAGAGAGAAAGGGTAGTATCGAAATTAATGAATTTAATGAAACATTAATCTATCCAAAGTGTTTTGTATTTTGAGATAAAAAAACTCCTTCAAAAGTGCCTTATAATTTGAGACAGAGGGAGTATTATAATTTTCTTATTTTTCATGTGTATATATTTTTATTTACTTTATTTATTCTTTTAAAGTAAATGAGTTTTCAATTTTCACCACACTTTTATTAAAATAATGCCAATAAACAAATTATGCAATCAAGATTTTAATTACTATTATAATTCAGAAGTAAGTTGATATTAATATTTTTTAATTGAATGAAAAAAAAATTTTTGCAAGTGACAATCCAACTGTCCATGTCCCAAGACATTGCCAAATGCCATATAACATGATATAGCTAAATAATCAAAGTATTAGGGCACTGATGGAGAAAAACAAGAAAAAAAAAAGAAAAAAAAGAGTGCAGGGTTTGAGACCCGGCAACTTCAAGTACTCAGTGCAAAAGCTTAAGCTTATTTTTGACATGCCAAGGATTTCTAGGAGTGTCGTTCCCTCTGGTAGGACTAAGGAGCTTTTTTGTCACCATTAAGGCATCTCCTCGCACTTATCTTTCCTGTTCCAAGTCTTTGTTTAAGACAAAGGAAAGAGATCAAAAAAGGAACAGAAAAATTTGCATGGAGGTTTGGTTTAGGAAGAAGACAAATACTGATTTTGGTTGGAAAGGCACAGTCCAAACTCCGAAAAGATGCTGTTTCCTGTTCAATCTTCATGAGCAAGCAAGAGTGAATTATTTTAATTTGACTTCTGATGACTGGCTGTATGTGTCAGTGCCAGAGATGGGGATTTGAGCGGTGCTTGAATTTCCTCCGCGTCCTTAATGTATATACATTTAAAAAAAAAAGTGAAAGGGTATTTTTGTCCGTCCACCATTTATTTAGAAATGTATGGGATTTTAAACTTCAATATGATTCAATTTGTCTTTAACATTTGAAAAATGATACAATATTATTTACCTGTTTGGATAGCCCAAAAAATCAATTTCCCTTTGACATTTAAAAAAATGGTATAATATTATCTGCTTGTTTGGATAGCCCAAAATGGGATAATATTATCTGCCTGATAGCCCAAAAAAATTAATTTTTTGGTTAAAGTTATTCAAACACCCAAAAAATTTGAGAATTAATTATTAAATCAGAATTATATTTTAAAATAAGCTTTGAAAATTTGTTTGTAGATTCAATTTTGCTGTTAAATAATATATTTACTTTTTAAATAAAATTTAACAAATTTAATAATATTAAATATAACTTTATCAATAATTTAATTTTAAAAACCAATATCTTTATGATAATTTATACAGCTAAAATTAATTCAATATTCAAAAAGATTATCTTATAATATAATTAATTATAATACTCAACTGAAATGAAAGGGCACTATTATTTTAAAGCTTGAGTCTAATCTTAAGCCTATATACAAGCTTTTTTTTTTTTTTTTAAGATTTAAGTTTGAGCCTATCATAAACTTGAATGAGGCCAAAACCATTTTAAAGACCTATTCATTAAGTAAGCCTTTAAAAGGCTTTAAGAGATAGACTTTAAATAGCATTCATTAGATTTTAAGTGTATCTAAATTATCAACAAAGCTTAATCATTTAACTAAAAGAATATATGTTGCAATATAATAATATAAATTAAATATAATAATATATATATTAAATGTATTTAATATATAAATATAATATATATAAAAATTAAATGAAGCTTTCATGGGCATTGTAGTCTTACAGGCCACTCTGTTTTCAGAGGCTTGGCTTATTTAGCTAGACATACCTTAAAAATAAGTCTATTTAGCTAAAAAGATTTGGCAAACAATTTGTTTAATTGATTGTTTGTTTGCTCTTTTTTGTTGTTGTTTTTGTTGTTTTTTTTTTTTTTTTTGTGTGCTCACTCACACACTACACTTTTACAAAGGAAAGCTCCCGGGGTTCGAAGACTTGGGTGACGGCAGGAGGCCACTGGCATTACATCCGTAACATAAACTTACAGTTACGAGGTATCTCATTGCGAACGAAAAAAGAGAAAGATAGGATCGAGCCATGTGGGTCAAAGGGGACTGATGCTTATCACAGTAACAAGATCTGTGACATTCAAATT